ATCACACACCACACACACACCACACACAGTGCGTGTACCTATTTTGAGGCTGGTCTCGGCGACGACCGGGTGATGACCATGCCCAAACTGGCCCAGCAGGGTACCGGAGAAGGACATGCCGTAGGCGAGGGCACCGATGGCGACACGGGCTCGCCTTCGCTCCACATGAACCATCGGGCGATGATTCCGTCTTGTACGATCTGGTGAGGTGGAGAGAGCAGAAGGGAGTTTTCAACAAAAGATGCCGTGTGTCGTGTCGTGTCGTGTGTGTGTGTGTGAGTGTGTGTGTGTGAGTGTGTGTGTGTGTTGTGGAGAGGAGACCCGAAAGGGGGCGAGGAATGTGAAGGAATGTACGCCCATGGGCTCGAAGCCAACGCCCAGAACGAGCGCGCCCACGAGCTTGCCGTAGAAGCTGTCAAAATAGGCGAAGAGTAAGGTGCCGATGAAGTTGATGAAATTGAAGAACAGGCTCGTTTTGTTGGTGCCTGCGCCACGAGAATACGAGCAAACCGGTTTAGATGTGTGACACACACACAGAGAGAGAGAGAGAGAGAGATGAGAGCGAACACGCTTGAGGCGCGTGAGTACTGCGTACCGATCTTGTCGATCAGCACGCCGGAGATGGGAGAGATGACGACGCTGGGGAAGGCGGTGGCCGACATCAGCATTCCCACTTGGAAGGAACTAAAGCCGGCCTCGGAGACTGCGCGAAGACAAGTGCGCGCGCAAGAGAGAGAGAGAGGTACCCAACACGACATGATGAAGGAGACGATGATGAGAACAACACGACACGATAAGGCAAAGGTGGAGGGGAGAGCGCACTGAGGAGAGGAGCGGTGGAGCCGATCATGACATCGGCAAAGTAGGCAGCAAAGAGGAAGCATGACGACAGCGCGAGGATGGTCCAGCGATAGAACCATCTGTGTGTTGTGTGTTCGTTTCCGCGCCAATCGTGAGAGTAGTGGTGAGTTGAAACAGCGGACGAGATCAAATCAATCAATATCTTAATCAATGATGAAATGATCGATTGAAGCTCCACTCTTGGAGAAGAGAGGGAAGGAGGGGTACTTAGAGGGATGGAAGAAGCCAGGTGGTCGTTTTGAATCAGGTTTGAGTCCCTCATCAATCACGTCGTCATTGATGAGGCCCGGCCTGTGATAGTGATAGCCCACGTGATAGTCGGATCCCTCGTCACCGAGGGGGAGGGCGTTTGTTCGAATAGTCCATTCATCACTCATGGTGGTGTTTGAAGATTTATCCCATTCGGCAGATAGAGTGGAAATGGCTGATGTCGGAAGTTCTCGAGGATCGTCGAAA